GTCATGATCGAAGAGATAAGCTTTTTAGGTGTTATGAGTTCTATATTTGGGTTTTAGTGAGTTTGAAGCTTAATTAAGAATGGTGCTTCTTTGGCTTGATTATAAGTTTTGAGAAGTTCATTGTTGGGATTTCCTCGTGGATCTAATTCTTCACTACTTTGGAAGCTAAGTTTTGGTTTGAAACCTAAGTTTAACTTAACATAGAAAGGTGAGTTCAAGTTGTTTTTGTGAAAACTATGTACATGCCAAAAATGTACATTTCGAAGTATTAACATGTTTTACTTGCTATATCAAGTGTGTGGGTTATTTGGTGAGTTTTACATATTTGGTATATTTGATTTTATAATCTAGTGAAATAACTGTATTTGGAATTTTTGGACTCTTTGGTAAAAAAAATCTTGAGAGTGCGTTATTTTGATGATTTATTTCAAAAATGGGGATTTTTTATGTTCGTGCACTCTTAGTGTCTTTTGTTTTATAAATCATTTGGAAGATATACTTTATTGTGTAATAAAGTATTTTAGAAATAAATGGTATGATTTCAGTTAGAAGATGAAATAATAAATTTTTGAATCAATCATACTTTTGGAATATGTGTATACATAACCATTGGTTAAACGTGTTTTATTGTTTACAATGACTTTTATTAAATAGTTAATCATGTTGTTGAGCTTTTGGCACAGTTTCCTTAAGTGAGTATTGGGGGACACTCATCCATTTATTTGTTCTCTATTGAGCCTGTAGTTATGGCATATTTATTTGATATATTACACATTTTGAGTGTGTTAGTAATTTAACTAGTGTCGTGTAATTTAAACTATAATGCAATGGATCCATAGGTATAAGAGTCAATTGTTGGTTTGAAAATGGGATCATTATCCATGTTTTATAGCTTGGCGCCTATACGAGCGATAGACCTGGAATGGTTGAGCTTTGTTGTGTCGGTATTGCGTAGAGGAACCCGTCAGGGTTAGACTCCGGGACCGTAGATGGTATTACGGAGAGAAACCGTGTGGGTTGGACTCCGAGACCGTGGGTATTACAGAGGTGATCTTGTGTTGAGTAGGACTCAGGGACCCTTATTTTGAGGCTTTTGCCAAAGAGTTAACACTAAGTCATCGAGGGTATTTTGGAGATGAACTCATGCAGAGTCATACCCAACAACCATTTGCTTGTAGGTGTATCTCTATAGTGTGTAATTAGGCATTAAAGTCGGGGTATTGTAGAGATGAACTCGTATGGATCAAGCTCTGGGACCTTAAGTATCGCGGTGGAAACTTGAGAAGAGGTAGCCATCATGACCGGGATCTTAGGGTGCTACTCAATAACGTTGAAACATGGCTTACTTTGTGTTACGTCGTTATCGACGAAAACGGGAATCCCCAGTCATGAGAAGGTGTTATTTTGGGTATTGGGTTTTATCCATGTTTCGGTGATGTTTTGAGTATGAAGTATTATCTATAATTTATAATTTTAGGTTTTTGAGCCTTAACCATGCTTTTGTATTTATTGGGATAGAGCTTTATCCGAGTTTTAATATTTGAGCATTGAACCTTGTTAACATTTTGAGTGAGTATTGGGTGTTGATATTCGATCGAGTATTTTGATTTAGAGCTTTCGTTACGAAAATGGTAGATTTTGGAAAGATGTTGCATTTTATGATAAAGACTTTTTATTTGAGAAATTATATTTAATAAGCAGTCTTTTAGTTTTACCATTATATACATTTATGATGAAACTTGCTTGAACTAACAAGGCATTAAGCCTATTCTTTTTTATTTGTTGGCTTGTGCATCATGTCCTTGTTGGGGAACAGTACTAGTGACACTTTGCAAATTGGAGCGCTAGTTAAATGCACGAGAGAGATTAATTATTCGGTAAAGTCCCTCGCAATTTAGGAGTAACGACTGTATTTAGATTTTAATAACACCTCGACCTAAGCCTAGACTTTATGTAAGGTTTGGTTTGTCATTCTTGTTGAAGTTATTATAGAATTGTTAATTGAGGTAATCAAGTACTAATATTTAGTCAGGAGCTTATCCTTTAATTGATGTATTATCGAAAAATTTAAATTAGTCGTTTTTTCCCAAATTTGAGCGTACTACATTTTGTGTGACTGATAATGAGTTTTGTACGTCCCCATGGCTTTGAAACGGGTGATACTAAGATTGGTGTATGATTCATATGGAGTTTGAAACGGTTGATACTGAGTTTAGTACGATTGATATTATGTGCTTGGAGCTGCCTCATCACTTTGGAACGATATTGTGGAAAAAGTGAAAGTATGTATTGGATGACACGACACATATGGAGTGACTGGAACTATCTCTTGACTTTAATTCAACTCATACCGAATGAATGGAAATATATATTGAAGGTGCCTCGACTCATATAGAGTGACTAGAACTATCTCTTGGTTTTGGTTTGGTTGATTGCTTCCAACACCAGAATCGTAAACATACAGTCTAAGGGCTTGTGGTGAAATTTCTACACCAATAGCTAGGAAATTTCTCATATCTTCGTTGTCAAATAACTCGACAACCGCAAGGAACGACGAAGATTTGTATGTTAACCTAAAACCACCTTGTGAAGATGGTAGGTTTAATTTTCTCGCTAAATAACTAATCAAACCTGAATGTGTTACGTGTATCAACAGCAACACGACAACCCTTTGAATCTCTTGAATATAATATACCACCAACCAATTATCACGAACCTCCACTAAAAACATGTACCCGAACTTTCTCAATTTATGTTATCATTTCTTCCTCAGGGATAAACTTTTTTTTAGAGAGAATTTTTATTTAGTGTTTGAAGTGTGTGTTTTGTCCATGTTATACAAGGATACAATACCGATAAAAAATTAAATTTAAAAAAGACAAAATTAAGGTCACATCTTGTAAGAGGGAAAGTGAAAAAGTTAAAAAGTGAAAAATGAGTCACGTGGGGGTAGGCCATTTTGTGCCAGCAAGGGCAATTCTCCCTTGGTTTATGAAACGGGGTGCTAATGGCACCCCTTARTAGGGGTGTGATTTTATTGAAAATTGCACCAATCAACTAAACATCACCTCAATAATCATTTTATTAATTTTGTTTTTTTTATATATTTACATTAAAAAATATATATTATTTTATTATTTTTATGTTATTTTATTATTTACAAA